AAATCTCAATAAATAAATTTTCTTTCTCTGTTATAGATTAGTTTTATTTTCATTTTTTTCTACTTTCCATTGTTGAAAGCAATGAAGAGTAGCCTGATTGTGTAAAGAATCCTTAATTCATTAAAGATGCGTTAACCTACTACCCCTCTGGCCCAGACCGTCTCCTGTCTGGCGGCCATTATTTATATCGAGCATCCCATACATAAGTCTGCGATTTTCCTTTGATAATTAAGTTGTGTACATTAGCTTCGCTTGCGTGTTTTCCCCACTGCGTGAGCTATATTTTCTGTGCTGTTCTGTGACTCCTCGTCTGTCCTTTTTTTACTCATTTGCGGAGGCGGTCCTGTCCTGGAGAGTATAATGCTTATATTAGCAAGCTTGTGTCTGATAACCGAGTTATTTGTGGGTGGGCTATGTGGTCCGACCCGTTGGCAATGCCAACATCCTAATTACACAACATAAAAACATTTGCTGGCCCAGCGCGTGTGCCTTTGATTAGCGTTGGGTAATGAGTTTTTAGATTGTCCTAGCAAAGTTGTCTGGATGGTTGTTCTTTAGCAAAACAAGACTAAAATTTGTGACGAAAGTGTGTAAGAACAATGATTATGGTTATTTATTTATAAATCTTAATCTTATACCTTACTGGTACCTGATAACTGATTGAATTTAGTTGCAAATTTTGATATAATTTAATAAGCAACAGAGTGACATAGCATCACATTAATGTAATCATTAAAGGGACAGTCTGGTTTGATAATAATAAAAATAATAAAAAGAAAACCCCGCAGCGACATCAATAGGCTTAAAAGCTGTTCATAAAGCACAAAACTGACAACCAAACGCGGCTTGCAATAAAACGCAATCCTTTTACCAAAAGGGTACAACAACTGTATTTAGAGTTGCAGTAGAACCGGACATTTATGCCAGTTATTGGGTTGTAAACGTTCTCAATAACCCCACACAGACATTTGAAATAAACCAGACAACGGGCAGCAGGAATGAAATGAAAATCCCTTTCTGCAACTTAGAAGAGACATTGGCTTACTCTGAAAAGAACTAACCAATAACAAGAAAAGAAGCTTAATTCCAATCACCGATGTTTGTATACCCTTGTAGTCAGTCATTAAAAATAGAGATATAACTTTTATATGTAAAAACCACCAACTTTTGCTGACTTTTATAGGTTCTCGTATTAATAAACCGATTTCTTCCATGGTAGCTATATCTTAAAATTACCTTATATATTAATAATATTCTTATAAATTTGAAAACAATTTTTAAGGCATATATCACTCATACATATTAAAGAGAAATAAAAGTTTCGGTTAATTCAATAAAGTAGAGACTAAACGTAGAAACGGACAGTTTGACATGGCTAGATCGACTCGACTGTTGATGCAGATTATTACGTTGCAAACTTCCGGTCAAAATTGTAATACCCTTCAGAGATAATTCCAACTTGCCAGACAAAATGAACAATTGAATATAAAGTTGATTAAATCCCCGGTGACAAAGTCATTTATTTTCAATAATACTTACTTACTACGGGTTTTTTTTCAGAACATTTGGAGAAAAAATTCATTTATATTCGTACACAGAGAGAATTAAAATTGGGTGAAACAATAAAAACTGTAATTTTAAAACTTTGTTGTTTTACTTTTTTGAGAAATTTAAATTGAAGCATCTTTTTTAATTTGAGTTGTACAATTTATAGTATACAATGTATGCAAAACAGATAAGAGCTTCTGCTCTTATGTTTTATTCAACTTTTGTAAGGGTAATTTTTTGAAAAATATTAAAATATTTTTACCTTAAGGAAACTTTTTAAATTTTATTTAAATTATTAAAAACCATTGTTATTTATTTCCGTTTTTCCCGCTAATATTGATCTCAGTAATTAAATTTTTTAGGGCCCTTAACTTAGATTTACGAATTAAAGAAAGCGTCTCTCTCAAGATGGTAAGAAATACTGACATTTTTTAAAAGATAACAAAAGATTTATTTAAGTACTTATAGAACCCACTGCAGTGTAATAAGGACCAAAATACATAGTAGAAATACACGAATTCAGCCCCTAAAAAACTAAGCATACCCCAGTTCGCATATTCCTGTTAAAAAGACAACGATATGAGTGTACCCTTAAGCTATCAGACAGCGTAAATGAGCGTGTATTGAAGATAAAAATGGCTCTAAAGCAAAATGGATGCTGAACCGACGACCAAAGGAGGGAAATTCTGGAATATGGAGGACGACAGCAAACTGCAGCAAAGCAGAAAAACAAACAAAACATGGCTAAATGGCAGGACGAGTGTGAGAACAGCGAATGCTAATCAGTGCATCTCGCTTCCACTTCACATTGAGCTCAAACTCCGGAATTCTCTGCTCTGTCCCTGATACCGGAAAAACTGTTTGGCAAGACCAGGGGTAACATTGCAAAACGAAGCCCGGATGAAAGCTATAGTCGAGTGGATCGACTATGGAATATACTTTTCATATAATTTGCACAAATGCAATATACCCTAATTCAAGCTTATTTCAAGTGTTATATATACAAAAGAGAAAAAGAGATTTTAAGGGCAGTGCAGCTTAAGAGAATAAGGGTTGCACTATGTATCAGGAAAAAACATGATGTTATACGGATGGAGAAAAAGCTAATGAAAGTGAGTAACGGTTATTAGGATCAATAATAACCATTCAATTGATCTTAAGCCTTTCCGATACATAAAAATCATAACATTATAAAGTTAGCTACTATACCATTTCTTAGTTTATTTATGAGTTCACTTTCAGTGCTGCATTCAGCGAACCGCGAACTAATCAGCGCTTTAACCATTATAGCCTTTCATCTCTTATTTTTTTGTAGGGATTTGTTGCTCTCCATTTTTTTTTTGCCCATCCGGTGATGCAATCAACGCTTCATACTTCCTTCATTTTCCTTCCCATAACAAAGTGCATAACTCCAGGTCCAGACCGTACACACAAGGGAAGATACAAAGCTTCACAGACAAAATAGGAAAACAAAAAGAAGCTGTTGCACACACTCGCCTTCAACGTTGTGTCGATTGTGTGGGCGTAACCGAGGAAAATGCTATTAACTGGTCATACCCCACGGAATAGCAGTTTCTTTAGCATTTTTTTATGGCCCCTCGCTTCGAAAGCTCTTGGATATATGGATGTCCATACATACAATATGCTGTACTCCATTTCAATTTCAATTTTTTGCCATTTCTAAGGCCGCAACATAATCGTATCAGCTAAGGATTTGTAAGTTGAAGCGGAAGAAAAGGAGGATATTTCGTTTGTGTCTTCTTCTTATTTAGGATTTTCAGTTGCTTAAAATGTAAATAAATAAACTGTATTTAAATTGATGAATCAACGCAATAAACTCACAATGCATAAGAAAACTAATTGAGTAAACAAAAAGCATGGAGCTACTATTTTAGGGGAAATCACAACATATACACACCTTTAGATATATGTACATAGCTACCTAGTTTAGAGTTTCTGGTTGAATCAATCTTATTATCTGTCTATATTATCTTCACAATTTATTTATATAGAATTTATAATTGCAGGCCCATTTCGGCCACGTTTTAGATTCTCTGCCAAATAAAACAAATCCAATACTTTTCAGTCAATTTTAACTCAATTTTAACGTTAAACCATTTTATAATTGACATCAATTAGGCTAAACATTTGGCTTTGTTCAATTTATAAAAGACTTTTTCCAGTATTGTTATGAAAATTCTGTTGTGGATGCAACAGAATCGCCCAAAATAAATAAATGTAAATACGCTTTACGAAACTTTTTCAATCTTTTTCGTTGCCAGACAGTTAAAGCTCTGTCCGCAAAAAGGAAAAACAAAAAAAGTGAATAATTTGCTGATATAACCAATTTTAAAACACCCACGAAACTCAGACAAGCAAACAGACAGACTGAAAGCGTGGAAGCAGACACAAAAACCCATTCCATTGACCGCAAGAGGAGGAAAAACGGCACACACACACACAGACACACCGGGGTGGGGAAAACCCAAGGAGGTGATTCAAAAAAGGTGTTCGGGCAGCATCTGCAGCTGCAGACCGGCGACCACAGCTCTCCCTGGCCAAGTAAAAACTCATCAAACTATATTTTCAATAAATAATGACCAACCGCCGCGGAGGGCGCCACAAACTGGCGGCCATTTTCCACCAACGAACCACCCAATCCAGCCCAAATGCGGCGCAGCTTCATTGATTTTATGCCAGTTGGCCAGGAACCACAACAGCTACAAGCATAAAATTGAATCATAAAAAATCGAATACTAACATATATGCACATACATACATACATATATATTTAATACACGTGTACCAAGGTTCGCCATGTCATTTGCATGGCCGGGCAAAAAAAAGAGCGAGTAAAGAAAAAAACAATACTTTTGCAGTACCTCTTTTTTATGTCCGTCAGTCAACTGACAAGTCAACAGCGATGCAACCTGCATGCCAAGGACTGGAAAAAATAGGGGAAAAGAGGTGGAGAAAGGATGGAGAAAGGATGGAGAAAGGGCGGAGAAATGCTGGCGAAATGCTAGACAAATGGGAAAAGGCATGGGACTTTGAGTGGCTTTGTGGGAAAGAGTGGGACGGCCTAAACGAATTCTGGAGCTCCTCAACTTCGGGCATTTTTTCCAACTCTTTTTGCTTCCTTTGTCGGCACATATTATAAATTGCACTATGGGGAGACGTGCCGAAGTGCCGACGTGTGAATGGGCCAAAAGCGCGGAGCTTAAAAAAAAAACTACATAAATGTCCAGAGATTGGGGTTAGTTCTGTCCACCGAGAAGGCTCTTGCACTTGTTTGCTTTAACTTTGAAAAGCCAACCTTAGTCATATCAAATTAACTAAAATTTAACAAACAGGAAATAGTTCTAATTAGTTTTTAAATGTATTGTTTAACAAAAACACAATCACAATTAAAAATCATTATTCCGATAAAAATGATCATCCTTTAAACTTACCTCTTTTAACTCCAGAAATGTCTTTTGCGTAACCTGAAATAAATAAAAAACATTTTAAATAGTTATTAATAAGGTATTTCTGGTATTTTATAAAAAGCTGTTGCATAAAGCTAAATGAAAATAATGCTTAGTAGAGCCCGCGCTAAAGTATTCAAATTAAAATCCACTTCAGAAAGCAGAAAGGGGAAAAGTGCAAAGGGCGACGGGCAAGGAAAATTGTTCCATCCAAAGGAGGCAAACTTAAGGGTTGAGGGTTAATTTGGGTTCTTTAGAAAAGTCTCCTTCTATGACTATGATGGTAAAGTAAAAATATTAAAGCCAAAGAAAACTTTAATGTAATTTGGATCATCAAGAGTAAGACATATTTTAAACTCTTAATTCTATTTTTCTATACTATTCATATTTTAACAGCACAAAACTTCATTAATATTCATATTCATAAGTAATAAATATATTTAAAAAAACTATTTCGTACCCCCAAAGGTGCCTGACATTAAATTGATAAACAAATATAAAAAAAAATTAACAAAACATAAATCACAAACGGTTAAGTTCCTTCTGTAATTGACATTTTTTAAATAAAAAATTTACGTCCTGTAATTAAGATGCAAAGGCATTTTTATTTATTTTTTATTCATTAGGGTTATAACCATAGTCATCTATCTATAGATATCGCATATTTTAACTCAAATATTCGGTTTTTGTTTTGCGAATATAAAAGTAAAGGTAATATATGCATTGCAAACGTAACTATTTGCGTAAGTCAATAAATACAAATGTAAACAGAAATTTATGAGTACTTTTGAATTTGCAGACCAATATGTACATATCTGGAAAGCTAAATAAATATACAATCTATGAAAAAATTCAACGTCTACATCGAATATTAAAAAAAAAAAAAGAAGTTACATTGATAATTTTTCTTGGTTTTCTTGGTTGGTTTATACTACATATTTTGGGGTTAAAAACAGATTTTCATATAATCAATTTTGATGGCTGTCATCTAGGAAAGAACTTTCTATACAATCTCCTGCACATTTGAGTCCCGGAATGGCAAATGAAATATTTAACCGCACACACACACACCCAGACCCACAACTCTTTGGCCAAAAGTTTGCCTTTATTGGCAGCAATCTGCGTGTGCCGTGTGTCTGGAATGTATATACATATGTTTGAATCTGCCGTCCCAACAGGCAGGGAGGAGACAGAAAGAGATTCCAGACAGAGACAGACCTAACATAATGAGCGACATTAAAACTAATGAAAATCAACTTTGGCACACCGACGAAAAGCGGCGGGGAAACCGGCTGGATTTGGAACGCCGGCGAGGGGTATATGATAATATCCCGAAAGATCGAGCCGCATAAAAATGTCGACTTCTGGGGAGTAAGGTAGCAATAAAAATAAAAGCAAAAGCGGCCCCCTCTATCCCCTTTTTTCGCCCATTTTCAGCAGTCGTAACCCCGAGCAACAATGAGAAAATTGCGAGACAGACAAAGTGGAAAAACGCATAAAGATTAAGACTGAACAATAAAGGAAATGGTCGGCAGAATTTCGTCAAAAGCCGAATTCGCATTACCCTCAAGGGCAAAATGGTTTTTAATTAATTAAAATTGCAGATTATATCTATGGCCTCAATATGATTTCCTTCATGGAGAGTCCATAACGTACGAGTAACTTATAAAATGTTTATTTAATGATACGCTTTGTCAAGAGGTTTCTTTGGGTCTTTAGTTTTCTAGCTACCTTATAAAACCGAACTTTTGAATTCGTAGTGAAACAGACTCAAAGAAAATAAAAAGGGCGAAACTATATACATTTGTATATGTCGAGATTTATTTACATGTTTGTATATCCATTTCCCTGTGTGTATGCACATAATTTTGTGGCCCTCCGAGTCAAATGAATGAGAGTCTGCACTTGAATGCGAATGCGAATGCGAAAAGCGAATGGCAACAGGAAAATGTGCTTTGACTTGGTCTTGTTCTTGGTTTTCTCCTTTTCATACCCATTTTCATTTTTGTTTGTTTTTCCGTTCGTGCTGTTTCTGTATCTTATATCTGTAGCTGCGTCTGTGCATAATGTATCTCCGTCTTGGCGAATCGCTCGCATCTGTTTGTTTATGCTTCGCAACTTGACTTGGCAAAAAAAAGAGTGGATAAAGGAAAGAAAAGAAAAGTTTTTATGCCTTTTGTCTGCTACTCGTCTGTTTGTTTACGTATCTCTGTGTGGCTTACCGCGCAACTTTAATAATTTAATTAAATTTTACCACCCCCCTTGGTGTCATGCGAGAAGTCCCGCTTTGATTGTTATTTAGGCCGTTTGGAATAATGAGGCAGCATAATTCTCACATAAAGCCCAATTTAAGCGCATTTTTAGTAGCCAACTTTGCTCTTACTTATTGAATTAAATGCTATATAAAAACCCAAAGCAAAAACAATAACATTTATCAGGCCTGAAGATATCAAAAAGACTTCGAAATCGAACAAAATTATACGTGAGTTTGTGTTTTTGCTTAGTTTTTGAGTTCTTTTTGGTTAAGAATAGATGTGATGTATATGCTTTTAATAAACTCCTTTTGAAAGGTAATTTAAATTTTTGAAAATAATAACCAAACTAAAAATTTATACAAATATTCTAGTCTAAAGTACAGAAAGTAATGTAAATACCGCTTTAATAAGACCATATAAGTCGATTACAAATTGGAAATTACTAAAGGGTGTTTCACCTGTCAATATAAAGACGGTTTCCGAATCCAACCTTGCCCCAATGTTCACCCTTAACATTACATTACTCTGCATGTGCAGCACCCTAGAAAGCAATTTACATCAAGTCACGCCCTTTCATTAAAGCTACTCATCAATTTGAAGTGCCATGCGCTTGACTCATTCAACAAGCTTAAGGGATTTATCCGCCACATGTACATCCACGTATAAATAAATGTGTGTGTTTTTTTTTATTATATTTATTCGGTCGCTACTCGACAAACAATAAATGTCAGTCGCATGCATGGGGATTGTTGATTGTAACACATTTTGCAATGAAGAATACATTTGTATCTGGCAGATACCGCAGCAAAAACAGGACAACACAATATATCATCATGATAGATATAATTTTAGGTCATATATTTTTATTGTAAAATAACTCATCCATTTCCATTCACGGTCACGTTGTCATCTCTAGTTTGAATTGTTGGTAGCTTTATCATTTGCTTGTTTGTTTGTTTACTATGTTGCACTTGGCACGTATGGCAAATAAAGCAAAGAAAAATGGCAAAAGTGTCCATTGTTTCACAGCCCGCATTTAATACCCTAAATCTATGGTCTAAATTATATTTGAACGAACTTCTTTTGGTCAACTAAAAGTAATATAAACCGGAAGCCAGCTGTGACTCGAAAATATATGATTTAGCTGCGATATTGAAACTTAATATCGATTTTAAGCATCAAAATAGATCCACTTATCAAACAATATCTCGTCACATTAAACTTAAAATCCAAAAACCTTTAATTTGTTGTCTAATAATCATTATTTAAGTTACGTAAACGATTTTAGGTGCTTTATTATTTGTACTTCAAGTATCTTTATTTAATTTCGCAGCTTTATCTGGTTGTCTAGGTTTATTTATCTTTAGAGCTCCATTTTATATATATTTTTTTATTCGTTTTTTTTTTCGCTTCCGCTGCTTGTTTGTGGGATAAACTGATAGGGCAAAAAAATATGCAGAGAAACACTTATTCTCACTGATAGTAGAAGCTTCAGTTTTATTTATAAATTTTTATTTTTTAATTTTTTTGTTATACAACCGAGACATTGACCTTTTTTTTTGCATGTGAGTAAAAAAATCCAAGAACTTGTCCGTCTTTTTTTGGTTTTGTATGACTAAGCGTATTTTTCTCATATATATTTTTTCCCTATTCTCTATTCAGCTCGGATCTCGGTTCTTGGACCTGCTCTCCTTTGTTGTCAGATTAGCCGGCCAAGTGGATAAACCAGTTTTCGCTTCTGCCTCTCCGGGCATCTCCTCCATCTGTTTCTTGGCCCTCTCTGTGCGCTCATGTTCATGTTGCTTGACTTTGGCTAATTAGCCAAAAGTGGTTGTTGTTGTTGTTGTTCTTGTTGTTGTTATGCTTGTAGCCCCGCCTCGTATTCTGTAATGTTGAACTAAGAAATAATTTTTCCAACCTAACAAAGTAGTTGAAGTGGCGAAAAAGATTTGGGGGTACTACATAAAATAATAATTAAAATAATATTTTTAGGCAAATTAACTTTGCGTTCTTTCTGTAGCCCAGATTCGGTTTGAAGAAAGACAGACTTATGGTATATCATTTTTTTCACATATTTATATAAAAATATCTTTTTCCTTGAGGTATTTGTTTACCACAAAGTTCAACATTGTAAGTTATTTCACAATAAAAATGAATGAGACCCCATGGGTTTACTCGGGTTTCCATGAATCACCTTGGATTCTATGAATCAACAATGGATTGGATTTATCGAAATAAATAAGTAAAGGTAGACTTTTTTATGTACACAAAGGTATATAAACACATTCATACATTTGTGCACTGACATTTACTCACAGTGTAGGTGAAAATAGTAACAGCCCGTTTCTATATAAAAAGACAGAGGGAAAAGTACAATAAACTTAAGAATCTCTTATACTAGCTTTTCAATAAAACCTTTTTTTATCAATTTCGGAGGCCACACTTAATTAGCAATAACACCTGAATTAACTACTTGATAGAAAAGAAATTAAACTCTCATATATTTAAAATAAGAACCGGATAGTTATACCCCTTAACTTAAATCTGGATTTTAGCCAGTAAGTTATGCGATTTCTCTTCTTTACTTTGAATTTTCTACAAATAAAAATTCATCTAGCTAGCAATAATCTAGGGTGGTGTAAATGAGGCTTAGACAAAAACATTGAAATAAATGTTCAGTCAGTTGGCAACAAAGTTAAAATTTCGACCCAGAAGCCAAACAAATGAAAGCGACTATAATATTTTCGAACAAAGCAGTGGATTATTGATGAAAAAGTAATTATTTTGGCAGCAAACTTAAATTAAATACCTATTATTATTAATAAACTGAAAGTTTATATTTTCTTATTGATATTAAATAACAGTTTTTAAATAACAATATTATTAAATGTGTTGGTTTAATAAACAAACTTCATCTGAGCTTACGAAAAGTAATTTAATATTTCTACAAAGTGAAATTTCTGCACGAAAAAAGTTTGAATTTATATATAAACTAATTCGAAAAACACTATATAAACCTGAATAAATTACAACTAGTATAATTATTAATTTATTATTGTCTATTTTCCACATATATTTTAGTTAACCACTCACCATTTACGATGATGATGGAAATGATCGACACGAATGCAATGTTGAAAACACATTTTGATGACATTATATGCGACGAGGATCCAACGTGGCTGGGATTGAATAAACAGAATTTGCTCCGATTTCTGTTTTTCTGTTTGTTTGTTTTTTTTTATTGGCGGCTTGGGGTTGTTTTTCAATATAATTTCGGCAGTTGGTTGCTTCAGCGACACCCGGTCCTCTCCGCTTAGGGACTTTTTAATTAGAGCTTCGCACTGACCGAGCCATTTGCAAACACAAATTTAGCACTCGCACCTGGACACACACACTTGCACATACAATATGTACATACTTACAGACGCCTTTGCATGGGCCATAAAACTTCGAAGCACTTCTTCGCACGCACGAACTATTTTCGAAATTTTGTTGTTTTATTTTTTACTCTTCTGGAGATGTGTTGTCACGTACACTTTTTCTTTTTCTTGAGCGATTTTTATTTCAATGCTTTTATTTGAAGAAATTAAAATTAAAATTAAAAAAAAGTTTTTTTGTTTTTGATGTGAGGCTTTTATTTAGTTAACTTGAACTTTCCGGCAGTGCAATTGCTGAAAGAAGAAGGTAGAGATGAAGAGGGAAATTTGTATTTGTTTTCATTTTACTTTTGAGGCCACAACAGCTGTTGCGTATGGCTAACTCTATGTATGAATCATGGTTGGTTTGCCTTTGTTTCATGTACTTCTTATTTACTTTGGTACTTCTATTACAATTCATTTAATATTTATTCCAGAAGAAGTGGAAAAACAAAGAAAACCGAAAGGATAGAAACATCAAACACTAAAACAAATACGAAAAATCACAACACAAATCGAGCAGCAAAGGCAAGAGCAACTATTGGTCTCCCGCTCGCACTCGGGCAGAGTCGATGAGCAAGCGCACAGAGGGAGAGAGCGAGCGTGAGAGGTGAAGACAACTCAGAGAGCGACGAGTGACAGAGAGGGCAAACTAGGGGACAGCTGCGGCGCAAACGCAGCGAAATGCATTCAATTATTGTTGCTGATTTATACTTTCATTCGCATTGAGTAGAAGAAAACCCGGTTAAAAAATAAAACACAATGATTGAATAACAAACTCATATTAAATGCTAAATCAAAGGCTTAGAATACCCGCCGATTTCTTTTAGCTAATTTATTCAACATTTTTTCACATGTTTACTTTTTCGCTCTCCTTCTTCTTTCCTCTCTCATTTTATTTGCCTCTCTCTCTCTCTCTTGCTCTCTCCCTTTGTGTTGTGTTCTCTGATTGCCTATGCCTCCGTCGTCTTTCGCTCTCTGTTGCTTGTAAATTAAATGCGTTGAAATGCAGCCATTTTGTCTCCGCAATTGGCACTCACTTGAACTCGCGTTGAATTTTCTGTTTAGCCAGAAAATTCAAATGGCCTGAAACGGGGGCACATTGCATTATGAGCGCACATTTCCCAAGACTGACTTATCATTTATTTATTTATATTTTGCACACCCGCTCGCAATAGCACTCGCACACACTCATGCACACGCACGCACACTCTCGCAGTCAACACGCGTCAACCGATTTTCCGACTCCCACGGCGTTCCGATCCGTTACAAAAGAGACCGCACAACCGCCTTCGTCGAGCGAAATTTTTTTTTGAACTGGTTTTTTTGAACTTGCGCGCAGTGTGACCACAGAGTTTTTAATAAATAATACCGCTAGACCCTTTAAAAATATAACTACAAAATATACTATTAAGACTTAGAAAACATATTTAAATGCTTATATACGGTGCGTAAAGCGATAAAACTGTGAGGGAATGGGTATAACCTAGAACTGTTAGTAGACGTTGTATTAAATAGTTGTACGGGGAAGAGAGAACAAAATACTAGAACGTTGAGTGGCGTTGCCAGATGGCGAAATGTTTTAGTATTTTCAAAGCAGTGTACGAATAACAATCATTTGGGGATTCCTTACATGACTAAATGACTGAATATCTGAAATAATCGGCAATTGAAAACAGCTTTTATAAAAAAAGACTTTTCAATGGATTCATTTTAAATATGCCATTCTAATATATTCTTCAATTAAAACTCAGTTTTAATGATTTTTAATGGCAATTTGAATTACTGCTTACTGCTTTGTGTGGTCATTTCTAATATTATTCACCGGCATTACTAATTTTCTTATACACTGCGTTTCACTTGAATAGCACACTTTACATACAGAATTTCAAATCTCGAAATCTTTTAAACAAAAAGAAAACTCGTTGATGTTTTTGTTTCTATTTATAGAGTAATCAATTTTAATTATAAGAAAAGTAACAAAACTTAAATTAAATTAACAATTAATAAAGGTTAACAAAAAAACTGAAAAACTTCAAAAATACCACAAAAATTTTGTTTCACATGAATAGCACATTTTTTTTTAAAAGTATATTTAATGAACTTAAGTATTAGGAAATGTGTTTTTATTCAATAGTAAGTATTAATGTAAGTATATATGTTAATTTAATAATGGGTCGAGCCCCCCTTATTCAATATAACCTCGTAGAGGCAGCGAATCATATAGACTTTTAATGTAGTCTAGGGATATTGTAGCCCAGGCCCTCTGAATGGCGTCAATTAGTTCGTCTTTTGTTGAAAATTGTTTACCAGACTCATAAACCTTTCTGACCAGCCATCCCCAAACATTTTCAATTATATTCATATCCGTCGAGTATGGTGGCCAGTTCAGAGTTTCAACATTTTTATCTTTTAAAAAAGATTTTACAACGGCAGTATGTATTGGGGCATTGTCGTGCTGGAATGTCCAAGGCAAATGATTGAAAAAATTTTCCAATGGTGAAAAAGCTTTTTCGAGGACGTTTAGATGCGCTTTTGCGTTCATGTTTGAGGATAAGAATTAGAGTTCACAAGTCCCATAGTAAGATATGGCTCCCCAAACCATAACTCCGCCTACTCGACTGTGTAAACGCTCCAATTGATGCGTCTCTTTCCTCAGATCATGAAAATAATAATTATAGCCATCTGGCCCCTCCAAATTGAACTTTTTTTCATCAGAAAAAACTACGCGCCTCCACTCGTTACACCATGACATATTGACCCGGCAAAAGGTCAACTGTGCTTCCTTTCGTTTGGGGTTAATCGGTGGTTTTTTTAAGTTTCAAGCGTTTAAGATGTTTAGCTTTGGAAATAACTCGCCAAACAGTAGTTTTGCTCGCGTCAACACCTGCTTTTGCCCTTATTTTGCTCACAGAGTCATGAGAATGTGAGGCTTCCCGCAGAATTGCAAGCTTATCTGTGTCGCTAAGGAGACTATTTTGGCGACCTTTCATATTTTTTCTATAGTTTTGCTTGATCTTTATAAAATTGTGTACGACTTTTCTGCTTCTTCCAATTTTTTTGCTATATTAGCCACAGAAAGGTCACAATCAATATAGCTTTGTATTTGGATCTGTTCCTTGTGACTTAGTGACGTTCCACGACCCATAATTGCACAAAATGATTAAACTATGTTTGAAATTCACAAATTAATCAAAAAACTTTCATGAATCAATCTTTTTGGCTGCTGAAATGACACTAAATCTAAAATGTGCTATTCATGTGAAACAAAATTTTTGTGGTATTTTTGAAGTTTTTCAGTTTTTTTGTTAACCTTTATTAATTGTTAATTTAATTTAAGTTTTGTTACTTTTCTAATAATTAAAATTGATTACTCTATAAATAGAAACAAAAACATCAACGAGTTTTCTTTTGTTTAAAAGATTTCGAGATTTGAAATTCAGTATGTAAAGTGTGCTATTCAAGTGAAACGCAGTGTATATGGATCTATTTTATAGATACGACACTGAAAAAATGGCTCTCGCTCGCAAAATCGCTCGAAGCGATATGGCAACGCCACATTTGCGGAACTAGAACTGGTTGAGAGCCAGTCGCATAGCCATAATTCCGCATTTAAAACATAAATTAAAAAAACAAAACTTAGTAATATTGAAGTTATATTAACAAAGGATTAGGATATTAGATGATACGTAATGCATTAGGAACAGAAACATAAAAATATATAAATAAAATGTTATGTTTTTATGAGTACTTAATAATTAAATTTCTACTTTATGTAGATAATTTGTAAATACTACAAACATTTTACATGTTTTTTGTGGGTTTTTTACTTGCATACAACTGATGTGTCGCCATTGCAAAAGTTATTTTAAACACGTTTTCAGCTTTCTTTCCTTATGTACATTTTTAAAATAATTAATTTTTAAGTCTCCTGGCCTCATTTAAAAACTGCGTAATAAATCAAAGAAAAGTGAGTTAAACAATTATTAAATAAATTTTTATGTGATTTATCTTTAGATGCAAAAAGCTATAACTGTACACATGCCTCCACCGGTAGCCCCGGGAACATCGGCAGGACTTTCCTCCCGGAGCCCGGCGAGTAAACATCGTTAAGAAGAATATAGATGCTCTAATCATTTTTTCGATTTAGTTTATTATTATTATTATTTTATTTCCACACTACTTTTGCGGCGTAGAACGTCATCAATACCCTAGACTATACATGGGCACCAAAAATAACTGACTGAGCCAAAAATTATGAGGCAGAAAACAAAGTAAGGAAAGTAAATACACTGACGAAAATTGTAAGATTTTTATGAATATTTTTTTACTAACTGGTCGAAGTCAACCTTATCTTCATTTAATGCAATTTTTAACGAACCCGTCGTTTTTATATTAGTTGATCTAGTTCTATAATTATGTTTTATCATTATTATGTGTGAGAAGCCTGCTTCCTACACACATGTACATACATGTTGGCGAAACATGCTTCAAGCTGAAACAATGAAGCTTCAACGTTCAGATACTGTTCAGTGGGCACTTGTTTCCAAAAATTCTTACCGATTTCCTTAATTTGCCAGTAATTAAGCTACAAAGCTTGCAGATCACTGAGTTCCATTTGGAATTTAGGCGGTTACTCCATTATATTTATGCCTTTTGTGACTAAAGACCGGCATAAAGGATACTGCATTAACCCTGGACTAGTAAAAAATAATGGGTCTCAAATCTGGACGCAAATCTCTTCAATCGAATTTAAAAATTTTGTCAGATCAGAAGTATCCATTTAATTGCGATAAATCTGGTGGAACACACATATGTAATAGAGGTGGAGAGCTATCGATGGTTTGGCGCTATCGCACCGCCATCGATGGCAGCCCTGCACTATCGATAGTTTTTCACGCGGCTTATCACATCACAAAGAAAAAATAAAGTTGAAAGTGGAACGCCAAAATATAGTGAAAAGCTAAAGTATAGCTGAAAGTAAAAATCTCCTAATGCTCTTTTTAAAAAAGAATTAGTTTTGTACTTCTTTTCCGCTCGAATACACAGTTCGACGATGTACTTTTTATACAATCCCTAATCAAAAAAATAAATAAATAAATTAATTTTTTATTTTTAAAGAGTTAAAAATATAATAAAGTTTTGTTCAAATTTCATTTTATAGCTTTTTTTACATCTAAAAATTCAAAAGCATAAAACTACCGATAGTACTATCGACACTATCGATGGTTTGAGAAAAATAATCGCTCACTATCGATGGCGACGACTATCGATAGTTCTCCACCTCTAATATGTAAATATATATTATGATGATCCCGGAGATTTTTGTGCCTTCCAAGGTCTCCGCGTACAATTGTTGCCACGGGCGCACCTATTTGACTTATAAGTCCAGCAAATCTATTGAACAGTGAACATTTTACTTTTTGTGTAATCCACTGAGATTGAATCGGGAACTGAAGCTAGTTTCAACAGTTTTATATCATCGCTCGAGTTTTTGAGGCCCTGGCTTCCACTTTAAATTTAAATTTAAGAATTTTTAATTTATTTTACTAACCGCACTGTTCAATAGTTGCAAATCAACTGCTGGCAATGGATTTCAATTTCAAAAATTTCAAATTTTTTATTTTTCAGAGTTTGTATTTGAGGAGTTGGTGTAGATTGTGCAGAAATAGGGATCGTTGCCTGGCAAGGACGGGGAACGTTAAAAAGATATGTTGGATATTTAATTGTAACATTCATAGAAAGTATATTATTAAAAGTAGTTTTCATGGCCAACACAGTTTAGTTTACATAATTAAGAAAATATGTATATATATATATATATATTTTATTTTGTACACTGTAAGCAGAAGTTACAAACTTAAGCTACAGGACGGGATCGGCCATAACAGCGGTGATTTTCGGCCGGAATAAGGTTTACATAATGTAGTAGGCTAGCAGAGAGCCCATCTATGTTAAGGCAATGTATGTTAAGCCAATGTATGTTAAACCAATCTACGTTAAGCCTATGTTAAGAAATGTTAAGATAATGTGAAACAGGAGAAGTGAAACATTCGGTTGCGTGGAGTGAAATAAAGAAGTACGAATTAAAACGCTCGGTTATACCTGCCACAATAAATTGCTTAAATAAATATAGAGGGTTCTTATAAATGTATTAACAAGTTAATTGCACATGGATTATTATAATTAACTGGAGGTTTGCAATATTAGGGTTGATTAACTGATCGGTAAGTTTAATGTTTGGTAAGTTTCTTCAGAGTTTGTAGGGCTGGACAGTCGTTAAGGAAATGGGAGATAGATATCTTTTCGTTGGTACAGAGTTGGCACTGTTCGTTTGGTGGTTGTGAGAAGCGATGTTCGTGGGTGAGTCTGGTGTGGCCGAGTCGAAGACGGATTTTTTTAGTGATCTCTCTTCTTGGTAGGTTGAAGGTTTGTGGGGTTTTTATGTAGTCAGCTATGCTTAGGGCTTCTGGGTTGATCTGTCGATACCACTGCGATGATTTCTGCAATATTTTTGGCTTGTATTTTAGCGTGTCGATTTTTATTTGTTTGTTAATGTCTCCACGGTTAACGTTTGATATTGTTAGTAGTGGAGCGTTGGTCGCTTCTTTCGCTGTTGTATCGGCATTTACGTTGCCTTTGATTCCGACGTGGCTGGGGACCCATAAGAACTTGATTTTGTTTTTGTGTCTTAGCAGAAGGTAGCGGATATATGATACATAAAAGCTGGAATTGTTTATGTTTGCAAGTGCTTCCAATGTGGATAGGGAGTCTGAGCAGATGCAAAATTTCCCTCTTGTCTTGACTGCTATTTTGATGGCTTCAAGAATAGCAATCGCCTCGGCTGTAAATACAGATGAGTAGCTTGGAAGGATAGCTTGTTTAAGTGTTTCATCTTCTGTCGTTACCGCAAAGCCAATTATTTCCTTACTCAAGGATCCTTCTGTGAACAGAAGCGTGCAATTTTTGCTCATAAGCTGGTGTCTAATTTCCAGAAATTGTTTGACAAATATGTCCTTGTTGGTGTCGGATTTTTTTACTCGGCTTAGTCGGGTTTCTATCAGATTGGTATCCAGAAACCAGGGTGGACATGTTGGTTTTGGCTTATGAGGAAGAGAGGTGGGGAATCCGAGCTTTTGGCCAAGATTAATGCAGTGGTTGACGGTGGAGGATCGGTATTTTTATACCCTTGCACGGTATTATCATTTCAGTCAGAAGTTTGCAACGCAGTGAAGGAGGCACCTCCGACTATATAAAGTATATATATTGTTGATCAGGATCAACAGCCGAGTCGATCTAGCCATGTCCGTCTGTCCGTCTGTCCTTCTGTCCGTCTGTCCGTCTGGCCGTTTCTACGTAAACTAGTCTCTCAGTTTTAAAGCTATTTGAATGCAACTTTGTAGTTAGCCTTCTATATACTCTCACTCGTATATATGTCGGAACAGGACGATCGGACGACTATATCATATAGCTGCCATAGGAATGATTGGAAAATTTTTACAAAAAAAATTTAACTTGTCCAGTTTTCAATAGAATTGGATCAAATTTGAGATATAGCTATTTTACTATGCTATACAATATTGCACAAAATTTTATGAAAATCGGACTACTATATCATATAGCTCCCATGGGAACGATCGAGAAATTAATACAATTAAATTTATAACTTTTTCAGTTTTCATCTGATTTTCATCAAATTTGAGGTATAGCCATTTTATATTAGTCTTAAATTTTGTGTCAAATTTTATGAAAATCGGACGACTAAATCATATATGTAGGTGCCATACAAACGATCGTTAGATGTGGAGAAAAATTCACATCTGTGACTGTAAAACTGCAAATATAATATGTAAAGGTGAATGAAATGAAAGCAGGTATTACTTCATTGTTTTTTATCACAAATATGTATCATTTATATTGTATGGATTCCTATTCATAGAAGTTCTATCTGCAAGGGTATATAAACTTCGGCGTGCCGAAGTTAGCTTCCTTTCTTGTTTTTGTTTTATTTTTTGTAATCCGGTGAATGATTTGCCTTAGAGGGGTGTCGTTTGCGTGCATGATAGTGTTGATTGTTTTTGTTTTTAAGTGGTCGATTCTGTTTTCTATTGGTTCAATGTTTGATTCTAGGTATAAATTGAAAGTGAGTGTAGAACAGAAGGCTCCCAGAGACGTTCGTAGGAGTGAATTAATTAAGGTTTTAATTGGTTTTATTAGTGATTTCGGAGAGTTACCATATATCGGTAAAGCATAATCAATTTTGGAAATGCATAGACTTTTGACGATTTGGATTAGGGTGTTGGGGTGGCTGTTATATTTTCCGCTGGAAAGGTATTTAATTATGTTCGATGATTTTTGAAAGATAGACCTAGATATTGAAAGATAGACCTAGAATGGTGAGTTTGTTAACTGTGGTAATAATTGCGGATTGCTTTTTCCGGCAAATGTGAATATGTTTGCATTTTGAAATTGAAAGCATAGCTCCGGATTTTTGGCACCACTCATTGATTTCAGCAAACAGTATATCGAGGTTGGTTGAACTGTTTTTATCTTTTTTAATGGTATTAAGATATTAAAATCGTCTGCATAAGCTGTGTGTTGTAGTTCCTTGTGCTTGTCGGTTATGTCTGAGAGACTGTTGAATGCAATGATAAAGAGAATTACAGAGAGTGGAGATCCTTGCGGAATGCCATTGTGGAGTGGGTGTATCCATGAGGTGTTATCATTGGCACGAACTCTGATTTTTCTGTTTGACATGAAGTTAATCACATATCTGATTATCAATGGTCCACAGCCCCAATCCGACAACTGATTAATGATGGTATGTAATCCTATTTTTTCGAATGCTTTTGCAAAGTCAAGAGATAAAATGGACATGTGTCTTTTTCCAGAGAGGGCTCTGCTAATTAGAGCGTCTGTGTATAACAGGCAGTCCTTAACAGATTTTCCCTTTTTAAATCCCAGTTGACGGCTATTTAGTAGCTTGTTACTTGTTGCAAACCACCATAGCCGTTTTGAAATTATCTTGTCGAAGGTTTTAGACAAACATGGGTTGAGGGAGATAGCGAGAGATATATATTTTTAATTTACTAAGCAATTTATATTATTTATTTTTATTTCCTATTTGCTGCTATAAATTTAAACTCATTATATACAAATGTATCTATAGAAGAAAATATCTATTTTATCAATATTACCACTTCCTTTGGAAACCTATTTGGTTTCAACGCAGCAACCATACGGTTATTGAAACCATGGCCTTTTTCTGGTTAAGCATCGACGAAACAACAAACTGACCAACTTTTGAGCGGAAAACGGCAATATGGAGGAATGTGATGGGATTTCTTTGCTTCTCTGTTGGAATCTGCCTCCCGATGGATCTATGCACAAGCGATTTTGTTTTCTTAATTTATTCTAAATTTTAACTCGATGAGGAGCCCAAATATCCCTTGTACCCTTGTACTGGATTCTTGCCGATGTCTCATACTATTTCGCATCCTTTTTGGCTTCGATTCTAATGCATCGCCTTTCCTATATAGCTTCTTTGCCGCTTCGTATTTCGCGTTTCTAAACACTGACGTGTTATTTGAGCATAAATTGTTTTGCATTGCCTGTAAATTTTAAAAGACATTTTTTTTTAGGTAAATCGACTTACAATGGCTTATCTTTCTGTCAATTTTGTTGCATGTTTGTCCTCTTTAATACTTTAAATTAATAGTTATTGCAAGTCCTTGTGAATTCTATCTAAGCTTAAGCTTTTTCGGGCCATCCTTTACGCTTTCCCTGACCAAATCGATGAATATGGATAACATCAAAAGATAACAAAATAAAAAAATTCGGAACGGGAAACCGTTTAACAGATTATGGATTGGGCCAACAATATTTCAGTCTTCAACATTGTAATGTCTTTGATTGGGCTCTGTGGGAATCTAAGATTCACATCTGCCAAACGGGTGGAAAGTGTGGGAATACAGTATAGAAACATAACATAACATGGTCATTAAATATTTAGTTTTTTTTAAGATTTGAATGCTGTTGTTTATTGATTAGGTATTTACTGTTGGTTAGAAATACAAATTGCTATGCAAGCTGTTCAGTTAACTGAACGCATCAGTTACGCTGGGCCGGGCAGTTCAACACCAAGTTACGGGCACGGCACTCTCCTGCCTCCGAATCGAACCAGAGACCGACACGACACTTGCGCAGCAGGCGGCGACCGGAGCGGCACTCATAGTACCTCCTGCAGTGGTTCGGGTCCTGGACAATGCTTCCGTCAGCGCGGCCACGGCACATTGGGCTGGTTCCGATCACTGTAGGAGCGTTGGTAGCGGTGCTCGAGCCTGTGAAAAGCTCCTTGATGTGAGAAAGGATGCCGTCATTGGACTTTTGTGGAGCTGATTCGCAAGCCGGAGTAGTCGTCTCATCACAGGGAGCAGGAGTGGTTGTTGTGGGCTTGCAAGGTGGTGGAGTGGTGGTCTTAGGCTGGCATGGTTTTGGTGTTGTGGTTGTCGTTGAACAGGTTGTAGTTGTTGTAGTTGTTGAACAGGTTGTTGTCGTCGTTGTAGTTGTGGTTGTTGTAGTAGTGGTTGTTGTGGTAGTGGTTGTTGAACAGGTGGTTGTCGTTGTTGTAGTGTCTTCATCAGGGTGGCAAGGACTGTCCGGAGCAGGGGTTACTGGCTTCTCTGGGGTTTGGGGCTCATCAGGCTGGCAAGGACTCTCTGGAGCAGGGGTAGGAGTTACAGGCTCTGCAGGCTGACAGGGTTTCTCCGGAGTAGGAGTGGGAGTTATTATTTCACATGGTGTAGTTGTTGTTGTTGTGGTAGTCGTTGTAGTAGTTGTGGTTGTTGTAGTAGTTGTTGTTGTAGTCGTGGTTGTTGTAGTCGTGGTTGTTGTGGTAGTCGTTGTTGTAGTAGTTGTTGTGGAACAAGTGGTTGTTGTAGTGGTCGTGGTTGTTGTGGTAGTTGTTGAACAGGTTGTTGTCGTCGTTGTTGTTGTTGTAGTAGTGGTTGTGGTAGTAGTGGTTGTGGTAGTAGTGGTTGTTGTGGTAGTGGTTGTTGTTGTGGTGGTTGTTGAACAGGTGGTTGTCGTTGTTGTAGTGTCTTCATCAGGCTGGCAAGGACTGTCCGGAGCAGGGGTTACTGGCTTCTCTGGGGTTTGTGGCTCATCAGGCTGGCAAGGACTGTCCGGAGCAGGGGTTACTGGCTTCTCTGGGGTCTGGGGCTCATCAGGCTGACAAGGACTGTCCGGAGCAGGGGTTACTGGCTTCTCTGGGGTTTGGGGCTCATCAGGCTGGCAAGGACTGTCTGGAGCAGGGGAAGGAGTTACAGGCTCTGCAGGCTGACAGGGTTTCTCCGGAGTAGGAGTGGGTGTTATTATTTCACATGGTGTAGTTGTTGTTGTTGTTGTGGTAGTCGTTGTAGTAGTTGTGGTTGTTGTAGTAGTGGTTGTTGTAGTCGTGGTTGTTGTGGTAGTCGTTGTTGTAGTAGTTGTTGTGGAATAAGTGGTTGTTGTAGTGGTCGTTGTTGTTGTGGTTGTTGTAGTAGTGGTTGTTGTCGTGGTAGTTGTTGAACAGGTTGTTGTTGTTGTAGTAGTGGTTGTGGTAGTAGTGGTTGTTGTAGTAGTGGTTGTTGTCGTGGTAGTTGTTGAACAGGTGGTTGTCGTTGTTGTAGTGTCTTCATCAGGCTGGCAAGGACTGTCTGGAGCAGGGGTTACTGGCTTCTCGGGAGTTTGTGGCTCATCAGGCTGGCAAGGACTGTCCGGAGCAGGGGTTACTGGCTTCTCTGGGGTTTGGGGCTCATCAGGCTGGCAAGGACTGTCTGGAGCAGGGGAAGGAGTTACAGGCTCTGCAGGCTGACAGGGTTTCTCCGGAGTAGGAGTGGGTGTTATTATTTCACATGGTGTAGTTGTTGTTGTTGTTGTGGTAGTCGTTGTAGTAGTTGTGGTTGTTGTAGTAGTGGTTGTTGTAGTCGTGGTTGTTGTGGTAGTCGTTGTTGTAGTAGTTGTTGTGGAACAAGTGGTTGTTGTAGTAGTTGTTGTGGAACAAGTGGTTGTTGTAGTTGTCGTTGTAGTAGTGGTTGTAGTAGTAGTTGTAGTAGTCGTCGTTGTTGTTGTCGAGCAGGTTGTTGTAGTTGGAGTGGGCGTAGTCGTTGTCGTAGTTTCTTCCTCACAGAGTGGTGGCGGGGTCGTTGTCCGCACGCAAGAAGGCCTGGGAGTAGTGACTAGGCATGGCTCCTTGGGAGCTTCTGGTTCAGGCCTGCTGATTCTGTGAGCAGATCCGGCGCTGACAGCGACCGATGCCACAAGGGCCAGAAGGAAGAGGCTTGCTGAAATGGTAGTCATTAGCGAATGAATGATATTTAAAACTAAACGGGAGGACACTTACACAGATTCATTGCAAAAGGATAACTAACTAATGTTGGCTACTTTACCGCTTTTGCTTCAGTGCTCTGACAACTAACCCAACTGCTGGGTCTTTTATAGCCCTGCCATATGGTATTCAAGTGTTTGGCATGTTTTGGACCATCAGGTTACAAGGAAGTTACCTCATTTCCTCGCTATCTTGCTACTAATTTGAAAAGTGCAGCTTTTACTGCTTATGACAACTGCGGTTCAAAAAGTTTTCAGATTGTACACAGCTTTCTATAAAATTTTAAATTATCATATTTATTCTCATTGCAGCATTGTACAATCTGAAAACTTTTTGAACCAGTGTTGTCGTAATCATTTCAAGCTGCACTTTGCAAATTGGCAAGACATTATCTGGAAACTAGGTTGTCCAGAACATGCTAAGTACTTTAACACTATACAACAGGCCTATAAAAAGAAGTTTCATATCGTTTAGTTATCAGAACAAAGTTGTCAATGGACTGTAACGATGCACACACACCAGAACACTTAAAATGTTTTTTTTTTTCGGTTCCGGATAGCTCTGTCGTCGGAGCGTTCAGTTCCTAACCCTTGCCAGCCACGTATATAAATTAACATCGATAAACACTAAACATTAAGCGGTTTATATATGTATAATCCAAACAAATTCATTCTATCACTCTCAGACACATACCTGACATAAATAGCTCCTCCTGATTTAGTGGAGGCCATATGCTCATCCTCCCGGATATACGCTCTTTCTCCCAAATTATGCCTTCTATTCTACAATAATTTTTTTTATTCTTGGACGTTGATGCACTAAGGTCAGTACATACAAGTGGCCCGTATGACACCAGGCACGTGCCTGTTTGGGTTAGGTGTTAGTAGGCGCGATGGAAAATATAGGACAGAATACGAGGAAAATTGACTACCGGCGTGCTGCCAGATTGTTAGCTTGCATGCTTACTAAGTGTGTTAGTATTAAAGATTTTAATTTGGGAAGGGTATCTACGTTAGAGATTAGTGTGTACAAATCATTATAATTTGCACATAGCACTCTAAAAGGTTCATGCAGTTCAAAGGAGGTTCTACAGTGGCGCAACACTAATGGGATATAGGATCTAGTGGTTCTACATGGTACATGGAAATTAAGCTGACTCAACAAGTCAGCACTTTCCACATCACCATGGATAAGGTTAAAAATAAAGGTTATCCCTAGCATCGTTCTACGATTGGCTAAGCACGGCAAGTTTATTAATAGGAGTCTACTAGAGTAGGAAGGTAATCTTTGGTTTGCATCCCAATTTAAACCGCGTAGAGCGAAAAGTAAAAAGTTCTTTTGAACCGACTCAATGCGTTTACTATGGACGCCGTACTGAGGGCTCCAAACGCAGCATCCATATTACAGGATAGGCCGAACTAAGGAAGTATATAAGGATTTAGTAACATAGGGGTCATTGAATTCCTTCGACCACCGTTTAATAAATCCAAGCACACCCCTGGCTCTATTCACCATAGACGAAATATGATCAATAAAGTCAAGTTTTGGGTCCAAGCGGACGCCCACATCGTCAACTGTATTAATTCTTTCCAAAGAGCAGCAGTTCAGCGTGTAAGTAGCAAGCTTAGGAGCGACACGAGAGAATGTCATTAGCTTGCATTTCGAGCCATTTAAGTTTAATAAGTTTACACGGCACCAAGTTTGAAAATTATTAAGATCTGTTTGTAAGTCCGACTGGCAGGCAACGTCATTGTATTGCACGCAAAGCTTGACGTCATCCGCGTACATAAGTACTCTGGAGTTAGTCAAGACTTTGGGCAGGTCATTTATGAACAATGTAAACAATAAGGGTCCCAAATGGCTTCCTTGCGGGACACCAGATGTAACCCTTAGAACATTGGATAAATTATTCTTAAAGAGGACCTTTTGCGTCCTGCCATTCAAATAACTAGAGATCCAATTAAGAAGATCACTTGGAAAACCCATTGAATCGAGTTTTCTAACGAGGAGAGAATGGTTAACAGAGTCAAAAGCTTTACTGAAATCAGTATAGATTACATCTGTCTGACAATTATTATGGAAGCCCTTTATAATATAGGAAGAGAGCTCCAAAAGATTTGTTGTTGTTGATCTTCGCTTCATAAAACCATGTTGACATGGAGAAATAACCGATCTACAAAGGTGCTGTAAGTGAGGGGTGATAATGTTTTCAAATAATTTAGGGATGGCCGACAACTTAGAGATTCCTCTTTTTGTGGAGAGGAATAATAAACGATTCCTTCCAAATAATGGGAAAGTGGGAGGTTTCTAAGGACAAGGTAAACAATTTCAGAAGGGGATAGCACAGGGCGTCGGCACAATACCTGAGCACACAGCCAGGAATTCCGTCGGGACCTGGCGAATAAACTGGCTTGACACGATCTAAAAGAGATCTAAAAGGAGAGAGCTTTCGTGTAGGCTAGGACAGAAAATTAAGTTCGATTTGGGTATGTCGTAGGAATAAGTCTGGTATATATACGAAGAGCTAGAATAGGTTGTTTGAAAAAACTGCGAAAATAGATCGGCTATTGCCTGATCATTATTTGCGGTAGTATTTTCAAATGAAAGCGAGGAAGGATTTGTTTTAGGTTTACGTTTAGTGTTAACGAAATTATAAAACTGTTTTGGGTCCTGTGAGAACTGGGCCCTACAACGATTTAAATAGTTTTTATAACACTGCGCGTTCAGCACGGTAAAGTTTGACCGAGCTGATAAATAAAATGAAAGGGCAGATTGAGAACCGGTGATTTTAAATTTAGCATACAGTCTAGATTTTTTATTTTTAAGTCGGCTCAACTCTTTAGTAAACCACGGCGGTTTATTCGAGCTTGGCGGATAATATAACGGAACACATTCAGTAAAAAATGAATTCATGGCACTGTAAAAAATATCCACGGCAACTGCCATGTCAGTGCACATGTATAGATCGGACCAATTGAACTCGTTTATAAAATTATTCAGCCGTTTAAAGTCCGTTTTGCGAAAACATAGGACTTTATTGGCTGGACGGTCAGAAATATTCTGTACGTCACACCCAATATCAAGAGTCACATCGAAAGTTGGATGATAAGGATCTTCGGGCTGCGTCAGAGGCGCCACCCTTGCTAAACTGACTCTCGCAGGATCAGAGACGAAGCAAAGATCAAGCAAGCGCTGTAAGGAATTTCGCACATGGTTGACTTGAGACAGCGAAATGTCAAACAAGCCAGCGATAAAGTCATGTTGTGTAGGTGTACTGAGAGTATTGGTGGAATTATTCGAGCACCAAATAGCACCAGGGATATTAAAATCTCCAAGAACTACCAACTGGTCTCTATCCAAAAGTCTACTGGAAACCATCTGAATAGCGGAAAGGTGATTCCAATAAATAGGAAGTTCCGACAGTGGAGGTATGTAGGAACAGGTAATAAAAATGGAGCTACCTTTCATAGATAGCTTCACACAGAGGAATTCAACGTCGTTGCATTCCTCGAAGGTTAATAATTCTGACGTGAGTGAGGAGTCCACCGCTATAAGAACTCCACCCCCGCGTCTGATAGGGCGATCTAGCCGATATACCGTGAACACAGCTGGAAAAACTTCGGACCTCAGAATCTCCGGCTTTAACCAGGTTTCTGTGAGCACAATAACCTGAGATGCAAACGAAAGGCTATCAGAATACAAGTTAGGAAGCTTACTACGTAAGCCTCTTGCATTCTGATAGGAAATACCTAAGGAGTAGGTTAGTTTTTTGGGTCGGGATTGGAAGACGTAGAAGGTGCAGTGGTAATTTTTAATTTTTCTACTTTTAACGTATAAATAAAATAAATATATATTTCCACATCAATTATTTAAGAGTTCCTGTATTTATTTTCATTTCATAATATGTTCTTTAATTTCGTTTGTGTATTTATGTGCAGATTATTTATTTGAAAATTTGAAGATTTGTATTAAAATCATAACATAACCTACCCGTTAGAGCTGTTAAGGGGTTTACGCGGGAAATATATATTTGAAACAAATAGCACTAAACAAATATTCATTAACTAAAATCACTGACAAAATTAATCAATAAGAACGAGAATAAATAATAATATTATTATACAATATAAATATATGAAATAAAAATGATGAAAAATTAATAAAAAATGATCCTGTTTTCCCGCCATTTTCCATAGCAATATTTCAATTTCCCTTTCGTTTACCTACCCTAAGAAAAGGCTAAGAACGGAAGAGAACCGATGTACTCAGCGTGGTATGGTCGTTGGCGAAAGTTGAAGGTCTTAACTCAACCCTACTCGGGGTCGATTAATTTCTATTTGCACCTTTGAGATATCCAAGATACAGGGCTGCGGATGGCCCTTTCGTATTGGGGAAAGTATGTATATGCTTGTTCTATAACCGAAATATGTATTTCGACCTTAGGGCTACAAATATTTTATGGTTTAAAAAATTGTTCGAATTCCCCTGCAAGAGTATAATAATTCCTCTTCACCCCTTGCCCAATAGGTTCTTTTCACTGAGATTCACCTGCTTTCCTCCATCTGTTGAACAGATGTTTTATATAATTCCAGTTTGGTTTTTTTTTTCTTTAATTTGATAACGATGGATTAATTTGTAATAATCCAATTGTAAACTGCACCGATGTACATAGAATCTTCACTCCATCCATTTGAAACAATTATGATTTTTCGCAGATGTGAAACTCCGTTTCCCACAGAGGTATATCTCCATCCTCCATCCCATAACAGTTGATCGAACAGCTGTGGTTTTGGTTGAAAATTAAAATAAAGCTTGTTAAAATGGCTACTGCTGAATAAGTTAACAACTATTTTGGGCTGCTTAACAACAAAGAAAACATGCAGATTGTGGCATTTGGGAACAATATTAAAATGAATTAGGTGACGAAAAATTGGAAATTCTCTAACAAACGGCAAATCCTTATGGATAACAAAATAAAAAATTTCGGAAAGGAAAACCGTTTAACAGGTCATGGATTGGGCCAAAGATATTTCAGTCTTCAACATTGTAATGTCTTTGATTGGGCTCTGTGGGAATCTAAGATTC